CTTGTCTTGATTCAACTTCTTCTTGTCTTGATTTAACTTTTTCTTGCCTTGATTCAACTTCTTCTTGTCTTGATTTAGCTTTTTCTTGCCTTGATTCAACTTTTTCTTGTTTTGATTCTAGATAGAAAAATACATATTTAGTTATTCTTTTTTTGTTTAATTTGTATCCTTCGAACTTACTGTCATATTTTTGATTTTCATTATCAAACATTGTTTTGAATTTTTCACGTCGTTTTTCCATTAAATCATTTTCATCATTTTTCAAAGTATTTAAACGATTTTCTTCGGCTTGTCGTTGTCGTTTTGTTTCCGATTCTGCTAATGCTGTATCATATTCAGCTAAAGATTGTAAACGTGCTGAAGATGTAATACTACCACTACTACCAGCACGATTTGAATAATCAGGTGGTTCACTTAAGCGCTTTCGACGTTCTCGAAGTTCTTGTACACGACGTGATGGTGATGATGGAATTGTTGATAGGTTTGTATGTTTTGAATGATCATGTTCTAAATCCTATTTGAAAAGAAATTCTTTACTTCGAATCAAATTGATTTAATAGAAATTTATTGATTACTCGAAGACGTTCATAAGCAATACAACCTTGTAAATTGTATCCACTACTCCATCGATCAAAAGCATAAGCAGATCGATATCGACCTCTACCCATTGGTAATAAATCTGTTCGCCAATTAAGAGTAAATTCATCTTCACCAAGCATACGCAAAATACGATTAAGTTGTATTTCTTGTCCAGTTATCTAAATATTTATTAGAAAATTAATCTCTTGTTTTTTTTAATGATTATATACGAAAATTTACTGTTTCATAAGTATTACGTAAAAAATGATAATCTTCTAAACGTTTTTCTGCTCCAGCAGCCATAAAATGTGCAATTAAATGTGGTGTTTCTTCCTGAATGATGATAATAAATTGAATAAGACAAATCGAACAAAATATATGCTAACTCACCATTTATTATTATTAAGATTTCTTACTTAATACAAAATCAAAGAAGAAAAATTGTTAATCTCGTTTAATACATATAGATAAGTGCTTGTTGTTTGTCTAATATAATATGCCTTTAAAGATTTGTACATAAGAGAAAGAGAGAGAAAGAGCTATTTCTAGATTCTATTGCTATTATAATTCACGATCAATATAGAAAGGGTGACAATGAGACAGATGTTGTTGTTATTGCTGGTGCCTATCATGGTGATAGATTGTATCGGGAAATCATCATATCCGTGCTTAATTGAATATTTTCATAGCATCTGTAGGATTTTTTTTTCTTCTTTTCTCTATTATGATCATCAATATCATAGTATAACAAGAACTAGTTCTGATAATCAAAACAAATGAGAAGAAACAAGGATGGAAAATCCTCGTTATATTAATGATCTATACATTATCATTGATATTTATTCATAAATCTTGTTGTTGTCATCATCAACTCAAGGCTATTTCTCACATTTTTCTGTCTGTTTTGGATTTTCCTCCGAAGGTATTTAGTAAGTTAGAAGCTGTGTGATAATAAACAACTATTGCCACATGCTTTTTCTTTGTGGTACTATGTTCGTAATAGAAGCATATCGAATAGGTATGCTTCGGATTTTTTTTTCCCATCTATTGAAATGTCATGGTAATCATTGTAGGCGCCACACAATCAAAACATCGAATCAGAGAGTAAGAGACTATAGTTAAATAGACAACCTGTTGTGAATCATAAGAAAAGGATAGACAATGACATTTTTATTTGTACTATAATAAGAATTCTTTTATCTAGATGTAAATCAGTAAAAAGAAAAAACAAATTTATAATTTTGATTTCGATCGTTCAGTATTTTGAACAATATTATTTTTAATTAATTGTTCTATATTTTCTTTACTATAACCAATTTCATGTAAAATTTCAATTGTATGTTCACCTGAAAATGGTGCTGGTCGATTAATTGATGGTAATTTTGATAAGGAAAATTTAGGTACTGGTATTGGTACAAGTTTAGTTTTATTTTCATTAGTTAAAGAAAAATTTTCTCTTTCTTGATTATGTTTATATTTATATGCTGAATTCCAATTTAATACTGGTGTACAACAAGCATCTAATTTATTAAATATTTCTGTCCATTCTTGTTGAGTTTTTGTTTTAAATATTTGTTCAAATTTTTTTTTCATTGTATTTATATTCATTTGATGATGATCTTCATTATTTGGATCCAGACCAAGACCAATAAGTAATTGATTATAAAATTGTGGTTCAAGTGCACCAACAGCCATATAAAGTCCATCTGATGTTTCATATGTATCATAAAAATGAGCTCCTCCATCAAGAAGATTTTCACCACGTTGATTACCAAACCATACCATAGGTAAATCACGTGATGTCCACATCCATGAACTAACATATGCTGATCCTATACAAAGAAAAATTCATTTTATTCATAAAGATTAAATATTATTTTCACACCTTCTGCAAGAGATAAATCGAGTACTTGTCCAAGATTTGTTGTTTGTCGTTCAAATATTGCTGACATAATTGCATAAGCAGCTAATAAACCACCACCAGCAAAATCAGCTGCTAAATTAAGTGGTGCATGTGGTTTTTTATTAGATCGTCCAAACATAGATAATAGACCACTAATTGATAAATAATTAATATCATGTCCAGCTTTCATTGCTAACGAACCATTTTGTCCATAACCTGATACACGAGTATAAATCAGACGTTTATTATCATTTAATAATACATCTGGACCTAAACCAAGTTTTTCCATAACACCTGGTCGAAATGGTTCAATAAGTACATCAGCTTGTGATGATAAACGACGAAAAATATCAATAGCTGCTGGCATTTTAAGATCAATTGAAATTGATCGTTTACCTCGTGCAAGTCGATCTAATCGAGTATTATGTTGATCATCTTTTCTATCAATACGTATTACTGAAGCACCATAATCAGCAAGAAGCATACCACAAAATGGAACAGGTGCTAAACCAGATAATTCAAGTACTTTAAGACCGCGTAATGCCATTGCAAAGTCTGGAAATAAGAAAATATTGTGAAACATAAAACAAAAGATATTCAATAAGAACTATCACATTTATTTTATCATTATTTTAAGAGAGATTCTATCAGACTATCAGCCGTCACTAAACTTGTTCTAACATAATTGTGGAAAACATCGAAGATCACAATCCTTCAATTTTTGTGATTAGATCATAAAAATTGGTTTTTTTTCATATTTTGATGGTATTTTGAGATTTTTTTTCGTCTCTGTTCATTGCTTTGAGTCAAGGAAAGTCTCAGGAGATGAAGAAAAGAATTCTCTACAAAATGGGCTACATCAATAATCATTACGATAACTGTCAGTAATCAAGCATGCTTCTACAAGGAAAGGATATGAGTATTATCTTGCCATGGTACACTATTTAATAAGTACACAGAATTTTAGTAGTGACCATAGTTATTGCACTAATTGACAAAACTATATAAAGCTGGTTAAAATGGTGTTCATATTTAGCAAGTTTTCACAGCATAGCTTAATACGAGAGCAGAATAAATAGTATATTTGAAATTAGCACAAAAATCTACATCGTATCAAATATATTTTAGTAAAATTTATTTTTGACAAAAAATTTGTCTGTACTCCCCCTCAGCATTTTTTCGGGAAAACTTGATCGTGGTATCCCTCAAGATCGATTTTATATAAGAAAAAAAAATAAATTTTGCTAAAATATATCTGATCTGATATAGTTTTTTTTGCGCTGATTACGAATATACTATTTATTTTGCTCCAAAACCGAATTATAATAATGAAAATTACTACAAAACGAACGCAATTTTAATAGCTTTTATATGGCTTTGACATTGGTATGAGAAAAATTTTGAGTTTCTCAACAGAAAAAGCAATATCAAAGAAAATCAAAAAAAGTACTTTTAAAGCTTGAAGTCTAGCAATTCAAAATGAGATAAGATACTTCATCTTATCTCTTCTTATGATAAACTAGATGGGTTGACCAAGACGACTATAAATAGATCCAGTCTACCGCTACTGTAATTTATTTTTTTCTACTTTATAAAGCCTACATTCAATCAAATAGTATTTTTATCATTAGTATTTTATGCTGATCATGAATTTGAAGTCATATTTTTGTTTAGAACAAATCTAGTCTATACAATGGCCAAGTGCCGGTCATAATGGTTATTAAGGACTATCAAAATGCACCAATTCTGGTCCCTACTAAAAGCCTGTGCATGTATTTTTACTCTTTGAGTAATATATTGTAAGATACAGAATTTCAAGCGCTATAAATTCATTTTTTTGAGACACCATGAGTCAACCGGATCGGAAGCGAATTACTTTCACAATAGTTATCATAAACCATAGACCTCTCTATTTTCCTGGTAGAGGCATAGTTGATTATTAAAAGTTATTGTAATGATCACTGACATAGTCCATTTTGTAGGGACTTTTTTCTGCATCTTTTGAGACCTTCCTCAACTCAAAACAATGGACAGAGGCGGAGATAATATCAAAAACTTTAAAAAGTCAGTTTTTTTGAATTTTTACAATTTAATTCCAAAAAAATTGAAGGATTGTGATCTTCAGTATTTTTCACAAGTATATCAAAAAATCCTAATAGTTTGGACTCATAAATTTCACAATATGATCTCTCGTTTGAAATGAAAAAAATCCAAAAAAAAAAATTTCGCGGAGGTTGGCTTGGATAATGGTCTGGCCAATCCTCTCTTAATGTCTTGAATATGTCCTCTATGAATAATATCTCAATAAGACATATATAATAATTAATCAATTGAATGAAAAGATAAATGATTAAAGAGTTCATTTGATGTTTATTAAAAGCAAAGAAAAGGGATATAATATAGATATTTAATGTCACTGCAATAAAGGGTAAAAAAATTATATAATATATGTCTGTGTAGGATATTAATCTATAGACAGATATGATAAAGTATTTAATGTAAAGCCCATAGTGCTTTTAATGCTTTCGTTAAACCCATATCATTGTAATTGAAATAGCTATAATAACAAAACAAAAAAAAATATATGAATTGAATGTAAACATTCATTCTTTTTCTTTTGACTCTTACCAAAGACCACCAAAAGCGATGGCTGTCATTGCATATCGAATGAGATTAGCGAAAGGTAAGGCTTTTCTTGGACAATAATCAATTAATACAGCTTCCATTCCTAGACATATTAAAATAAATAAACGATTATTAAATATCTATTTTAACAAACCCCAATGAGCATGAATAGCCATTGTAGCAGCAAGTAAATAGTTCATTAATGCTGAATCATAAACAAATGAACCTGGAATAATAGCAAGCATAGCTACAGCTACTACACGTTCAATTTTCCAATGATCTGAAGTTGTAAATACAGCCATATTTGCTGTTGGATTTTGAGGTGAAAATACCGGTTGAATAGCTGTTCCATTAGCAATAGGAATCGTGGATTTCTATTTGAAATAAAAAAAAGAAACCAAGGAAAATCAAATCAAATTATTGAAAAATAAATTTTATACTAATGATGGACCACCAAGAAAATATGAATTCACCAAAGATGGATGGACAATACGACTTAATGGTCGAAAACCACGCATAAGAGCAAAACTCATTTTTATTTATTTATAGAAGAGAGTTTAAAATCTGAAACAATTACAAAAAGTCTTCATCTAAATTTTCAATACTTTTGTATATATATATAGAGAGAGAGAGATAAAAAAACAAGAATGAAGAAAATAAAACTATGAATTTTTTTATTTTTTAAATGACCATGTTGAACCTTGATGTCGATCCTAGAATAAATATAATTTAAAAAAAGAAAACAAATAATAATTAATATATTTTAATAATACTTTTATTTCAACACCAAGATATTTCATTTGTGAACGATAATCATCACATTGTTCAAGTAATAATTTTTTTGGATTTTCTTCATCTGTTAATGATCGACGACGACATATATCACGTATATTAGTACGAAATTGAACACTTTTTTCAATAACATTTTCTAATAAAATACGATCGGATGACACATTCTATTAGGAAAAATTTCCTATTCGAAAAAACAAATCAAATACTAAAGAATATAATTTTACTTGATTTTCATGACCAGATAAACTCATATCTATACCAAATATTTCGAGCCATGATTGAATAAAATCAACAGCTAGAAATAATGCACATGTTGGAATGTTATTTATTATATTCTAAGAAAAAAAAAACAAAATAAACATTTAGAATTCAATATAATTGTAACAAAAAAAAATGAAAGCAGTTCTTTTCATCATTAAAATTTATTTTGTTACTAACATACAATTTGACTTAGCTCAGTTTCTGTGAGGAAAATTTGTTCTACAAAGTGTATTATTTACTTTTGCATGATAGATTTTTTAAATTTTGTATTTTTTGACTGATGCCGATTTTTATAGAAATTAGATGTTTAATGTAAACACATAGATGAGATTTCGCTTATTGTATAATATTCAATGTTCTACAATAATGTTGAATTGAATCCGTTCTAAGACACAAACTAAGGATTGCGGTAAAACTGCTGATTTGCTTTGAACTTTTCCATAAAATTTACTCATAGTTATTCAATCTCACCTCAACAAAAAATTTGAACATACATATTCAGAAATAGCGAAAAATCAGTAGTTTTTTTTAGTGGTCAAAAAATGAACGAATATTTTGTATTAAAACTTTCGCGCTTCAGATTATTTGCTTTTTCTTCTTCGTCTAAGACAAACATAATGCTAACAAACCAATTTTATTAATTAGAGAGATTAACTTGATTTATCACTTATTTTCTACTATTGACATATATATGTCACTTACCCATCACAATGTATCATACCTCATTGTCACGTATGTCATAATTCATATGTGAATTAATCCAATGAACTAATTCTTGTAAACGACTCATTGCTGATGGTGTATCAAAATTATTTGCTAAAACATCAATGATTTCTTCATGTGCATTTCTTATTCTATCGAATAGAATTCAAAAAAAAAAGCTTCGAGTAAGTCATAAAAAAAAAGAAGACCATCTGTTTTATACCTTGTTATAGTTTCAGCTTCAGATAAAGATGATATATCAACAAGACCTTTTTGACAAGCTTGAACTGTATCAAAAAATGCTTTAAATAATTTATCAACAAATAATGCTTGTTGAATAGCAGCTGATTCAAAAGACCTTGCTAAAATCTATGAATAAATGTTAATATGAAATTCATTCATTAATTTACGTGAACGATAATCATGCATTAAACAAAATAAACGAAATTGGGTTGATGTATATGTTTTAAGCATATCACGAATAAGTATTGTATTATTTAATGATTTTGACATTTTTTCATCCATTGATTTCGTATTTAATAAACCTATAATTAATAATTTCTTTATGTATGTGTGTGTGTGTGTTTTCAGAATTATATTAGAAAAATAAAATAATTTCTACCTGTATGTAACCAATATTTAACCCATGTTTTATTTCCATGATAAGCTGTTGATTGAAGTATTTCATTAGCATGATGAGGAAAAACAAGATCTAAACCACCAGAATGTATATCAAGATGAGATCCAAATGTTCGACTAAAATATTTGTTATTTGAAAAATAATAATACATTTTATCGAAGTATGACCAAAAGTTTTGCATGTAACTCTATTAAATGTTGATCTTTTTTTGTTTTTAAATTTTAATAGATCAGTATGAATCGCGTAGAATATTCAATGGCACATTTTCTAAAAAATGTGATCAATGTTCTTGAATAGAGTTATATGCAAAACATTTGCTACATCAAGTTATTTATTTACCTAGCCATTACAGAACATTCAATATGCCAACCAGGTCTTCCATAACCCCATGGTGATTGAAATTTTAATTCATTACTTGTTTTATCTCGTCCTTTCCATAATGCAAAATCTCGAATATTTCGTTTTTCATTAAGAATATCACCTTCTAATGATGATAAACCTTGTTCATTCATACGATGATGTTTATATTCATTTTTTTCACCATAATAATTCATATCAAAATAAACTGAACCTTCAATAACAAAAATAAAAAAAACATATTGTCAAATAAATTCTTATTTTTTATTTTATACCCGATGGACATGCATAAGCAAATCTTTTATCAATTAATTTTTGTATAAAATTAATAATTAATGGTATATGATCTGATACACGTGCATATAATGTTGGTGGTTGCACATTAAGTTTTAACATATCATCAATAAATTCTTGTTCATATTTTTTTGATATTTCTAAATAATGAACATTTTCCTATAAATAAAATTAAATCCCGTTTTTTATTTTTAAATGAAAAACAAAAATAAAAATTCAAACCTTTTGACTACGATGAATTATTTTATCATCAATATCAGTTATACCCATCATAAGAACAATATTATAATTAAATACATGTTTTAATATTCGATGTATTATATCAGATGTAACATATGTACTTGCATGACCTATATGAGAACTATCATAAACTGTTGGACCACAAGAATACCTTTATATTCAGAAACATAGAAAAAAAAGTATATATAAATAATTGAAAATTTTCTACCAAAATATTGTTCCAGGATATTTTGGTTCAAATTTTTCCATGGATTTATTTGTTGAATTATATATATAAACATCATGAATTTGAGATGATGAATAATATCGTTGATAGAATAATGAACGAAACGATAATAAATATGATCGAAATCTTATCATTTCTTTAAAAAAAAAAGAAAAATAAACAATAAATAAATAAATGATGAATAGAGATTTCTTATTGGTTTAGACATTTTAACCAATAGAATAATAAATAACAGATCACTAATTGTTATAAAACAAAAAAAAACATAATAATAAAAAAAATTTACCTAACAGGAAAAGACGACACTTTTTTTTTTTTTATAGAAAACAAAATTTTAGTATCCGAAGTCAAATGATTCATTTAATGTCATATATATATATATAATCAATAGATAGTAGTCGTCAAGATCACAACAGTCATCGTGCTTATATTGTTTTGTATGATTTTATTTTATAGGCGTGTTTTTGACGACATTTAATTGTTTCGTTTTGTTTTTGTCATTAACCAGCACAAATGATGCTTCCTGATTCACCACAAAATATTGTTGTTGTAAGAGCACCCTCACCATCAGTTCATTATATAGCTGGTAGTATGATTAGTGATACATCAAGTAGTATTTTATTAACACCAAATCATCACCAACAAACAACAGTACAACAACCAATTCATTCATTTAATCAACCTGTTTCAGAATCATGGTGTTTAACAAGTGTTAAAGTTATTAAAGTATGAAAAAATTAATTGTTTTTCTTATATTATGTATAGAGAATCAAGTTTTTAGGAACAAACAAAATTGATTTTTATATTAAAAAAAAAAATTTTGTTGAAAATTTTCTTTTGTATCAAACTATTCGAATTGATATAGTAAATGAAATTTAAATTAATTTGTAAATTTTTATTTTTTTTGTTTATACGAAATTAGACTTTTTTCTCTCTATCACAGTATCACTTGGTAGTAAATGTAGGATTTAATAATGCAAATGTAAATATTTGTTTAGTTCTTGATGATAAAAAAAAAGTTAAGTGATAATTAAGCCAAAAAAAGAAATAATTTGATCAATTTTTGTTTCTTTTTGAGATAATTTAATAAGTATTTTTTGTTTTTTGTATGATTTAGTTTTCATTTCATTGGACAATAAATAATTTTTCATTTTGTCGTGAAGAAATGGGTGAAGCATTAAAATCATCATCATTTTCAGCCAATGCAAATGATAAACTAAAATGGTGTTTACGTCTTAATCCTAAAGGTCTTGATGAAGAATCCAAAGATTATTTATCACTTTATTTATTACTTGTTGCTGCACCAAATAGTAAATGTGAAACACGAGCTAAATTTAAATTTTCAATATTAAATTCAAAAGGTGATGAAACAAAAGCTATGGAATCTCAACGTGCTTATCGATTTGTTCAAGGTAAATTTTCTTTTTATTATTTAAAACATAAACACAATCTTTACAAGATTAAAATGTGAAACACAATATAGCTGCTGATGCTAATCATCAAAAGATTGTTTTATTCTATCTATTTTGAGGCACATTTCTAAGTCTATGATGCGGAAGGAGGAAGAGTGTTGTTAAGATGTCGTTGATTAGAGGAGTAAGCCGATGTATTAATCGGCAACAGAGGCTACAAATTCTCAGGCTACGGAGCAAGGATTGGCTTACATCTCTATCTATGATGGTCTTTGAGTAGTGCTCGGCGTGACCATAAAACCGTTACTAAAGAAAAAAAGATTGTCCGATAGTAATTTTCATGTTGAATGTGACAAAAACACTTTTGATTTAATTCTTTATATTCAGAATTTTCTCCTCTGCAAAATGATGTATAAAACTTGAGGACACAATGATCTATACAAGAGAAAACAATGACACATTTGTCGTGACCATTTCTAGTCACGGTCAGTCACGGAAATTTCTGGTCACGACAAATGTGTCATTGTTTTGTCTTGTATAGATCATTGTATCCTCAAATTTTATACATCATTTTGTAGAGGAGAAAATTCTAAATACAAAGAATCAAGTCAAAAGTATTTTTGTCATATTCAACATAAGCATTACTATCGAATAATCTTTTTTTCTTTGGTCACGATTTTATGGTCACGCCGGGCACTATCTTTGAGTAGCATATATGTGTGAAGACCAAATATTTATTCCTTGTAAATTGTATTTTATAAAAAAAAAAATATTTTTAAAAATTTTAGGAAAAGATTGGGGTTTTAAAAAATTTATTCGTCGTGATTTTTTAATCGATGAAACCAATGGTCTTTTACCAGATGATAAATTAACATTATTTTGTGAAGTTAGTGTTGTTGCTGATAGTGTTAATATTAGTGGACAAACACAAATTAATTCAGTAAAAAAATTTTTTTTTTATTTTCATTACGGCAAATTCATTATAATTTTCTTTGTATCTTTTTTTTAGCTTAAAATTCCTGAATGTCATTTAAGTGATGATTTTCAATCATTACTTGATAATTCATGTTATTCTGATGTAACACTTGTTTGTGGTCAAAAAGAATTTCCTGTTCATAAAGCAATATTAAGTGCACGATCGAAAGTTTTTCAAGCAATGTTTGAACATAAAATGTTAGAAAATGAACGTTCACGTGTTGAAATTGAAGATATTGATGCTGATATTATGTTTGAAATACTTCGTTTTATATATACGGGTAAAGCACATAATCTTGATACATTAGCTGATGCACTTTTACCAGCAGCTGATAAATATTGTTTGGAAAGACTTAAAGTACAATGTGAAGATACATTATGTACAACAATTGATCGTGATAATGTTGCTGATACACTTATACTTGCTGATCTTCATTCAGCAATGCAATTACGACAACAAGCTATTGATTTTATAAATGCACATCCGCAAGGTATTTGAAATGAAAAATTTTCATAAGAATATTATTTATACATAATTTTATTGTTATATAGATGTATTAGAAACACCGGGTTTTCAAACAATGATTCGTACACATCCACATTTATTAGCCGATGCTTATCGAGCAATGGCATCATTACAAAATAATATAATTTGTCCGCCTAGAAAAAAACAAAGAACTACATGAACTATATCAATATTTATTATATGTCGTCTTTTTGTTTTTATTTTGTTTCTGCTTCCTAACCATAGCCGTCAGGATTGCTCGAGGTAAAATATCTGAACAAAACTCGGTTTCTTTTTCGCTTTTGTCTTTTTTGATTGACGTTCTTTTTCTTTTCTTTTTAATATGTATTTATCATGTGGTATTAGTGCGTCTTTTTCGTCTGATATAACTTGTCTCGTTGTATAGACTTTATTTGTAGTGTGTTTCGCAAAAAGAAAAATTAACAAGACATAGTAACGTCAAGGTTAAAATAAAAGTTCTTATTTCGAATGAGTACATCACATTAGAATAGATGATTTAATTATCATATGTAACAAAATTATGCAAAACAGTTAATTTCAAGAAAATGATAATCATTGAAATCAAATCAATACAATCGATTTACATCAACAACGTACATATATGTTGATATTTATTTGAAATCGAAAATATACTTTTCAAATAATTGATTTTGATTTGAACGAGAAGTATTTGAATGAATAAATTTATTATATCAGACGCTGAAGTCATATAAAACAAAGATGAGATCAGTTCGTATTTTTGCAACCGAACCAATCCCATCTTTGATATGAAATCAGTAATACTCCGTTTATTTTTCAGAAAACAAAAAGAAAGAAAACAAAACTATCACAATCATAGGAAACATTCTCTTCTTTTTTTTTTAACAAGGCACTTTCATTAACTAACACACTGGAATGTTACCTATTAAAACAATTGATAAAAACAATAATGTTAGATATAATTCATTTCTTGAATTATCTGCAAATGTTAAATGAAATGTTAGTAATATACAACAACACCTTTTTATATGCCAATAATGAAAGATGATTGTTTGTAACACAGGTCGACAAATACGCAGTTCGTATACGCCAATAAACAACCGTGTTTTGACGGTGTGCATGATTTAGTATTATGATCGTGTATCGCCGTGACCCTATACCGAGTACAACGGAGACTGTATACGAGGATGGTAAATAACCAGTTTTTTTTCTCCATATAAAGTCGGAATATTGAACCATGTAAATTGTCATTTTTCTTCGTTTACGATTGTGTTTGTTTGACCTGGGAAGTTTGTATTATATTTTTTTTATTTTAAAGAACAAGGTCATTGTCTATTAAAATGTGCAGAAGATTGTAACAAAAATAGCATCATCTCATAAAAAAAAGAAAAGAAACAGCACGAAAGAAAATTAAACTCTCATAATTATAGCAATCACTCTCTTCTTTTCTTGTTATTTTAACAAGACATCTTCATTAAATAACACTAGCCTCAGTATGTGAACAATTATTAGAATCAAATGTATGAAAAAAAAAAGTTGCAAGCTAAAATTAAATTCTGTACTTTGAGCTCATTTTTTCTCTTCCATATTGACATAAATATTTGATTAGTTTGTATAGAATTTTATAAATACACTTGATAAAATTTATATCGTACTGAACAAAGGTTTTCTATAAATAAATAACTTTCTTTTTGTTGAACGTAATTCATATTTTATATATCAAATTATTGAATTTTCTATAATCTAGTTTCATTTAAAATAACAAAATTTTCTTGTTTTGTTTACAAGTATTTTTATTTTACAGCTATATCTAAACTTATATAAAAAGTGAAATTAAAAGAAAAAAAAAACAAATGTTAAAACTAATTCTTGTTTCTTGTCATTTTAATACATATATAACTCTATCTTTTGAAAGATATACAACAAAATCCGATCATAATAACACAGATGATCAAAAGCAAGAAAAAAAAATGAAAATGAAAATGAAAACTTTTGTGATCATGTCAGAATGAAGCACGCTTAGAAAGAAAGGAAAAAAAAATTAATATACATATTGTCCAAAAACAATCACAAAGAATTTTGAAGATAATGCTTTATATTTTAAGCTTTTTTATTATTATTTGCATTATTATTATTTGAATTATTATTATTTGGATTATTATTATTTGGATTATTATTATTTGGAT